TTTAATAGGTTATTTTATAATAAAAAAATATATCACTTTTGTGAATAATTTATTATTTTTGTGAATATTTTTATGACTGTTATAATAATTATTTTTATCATATTTCTTCCGTTCAAAAAAATTTACCACTTTTTAATGATATTCAATGATATGAGCTGCCAAAACGGGCATTAATTGCCCAATTATGAAATACAATATTTTGCAATTAAAAGCCACCAGCCAATGAAAATTGGCCTTTTGCTAATTACACCTTTATTTTCTTTTTTCTTGAAATTGTAGTTACTCAGTTTCCAATTGGTTTCAAAGAAAAAATAAACTCAAAGAAAAGTTTCCCAAATCCCAAAAATACCCCCCAAGTAGCATTAAATCTATTATGTGATCTAATTTATTGACCAAATTCATTATAATCATTGAATTGATAGCAGATCTCACCAAATAGAGTTTCACTACCAATCCAATAATTATGAATAATTAAAATAAAAAGTTAAATTATAGTAAAATAATTTTTGTCATCCACGTCAGTATTAGGGGTATTCATGAAAGATAAATTTTTTATAGCCTGATCTCAAAGAATCGCCAAAATTCAAACTCAGGACATCTGAGTTTATAATTTGTTCATGTTACCACTTAAATTATTATTGGAGATTCTAAAATATATTTGACGGTATAAAGAAATTGTTCTTTTAAATTAAAATTAAAAAACAAATAAAACTCAGGAGAAAAAAAGGCCCAAAAGGACCGAATTCCCGAAGCCCTCTTCTTCCTCGTCTGCATGTCCAGCCCACGCAGAGATCGAATAGTTTACAATCTTAGAGGGAGAAAACACAATAAAAAAAATAACTTTTAGAGAGAGAAAGTAGGGGCAAAGAACGAGCACGAAGACGAACCAGAACGATACATATACACGCATACATGCACATTTATTCATATTAGGCCAAGAGGGAGTTTCAGAGAGGATTCAATGCTTCCACGGCTGAACATTTTCTAGGGCTAATTGGTGTGCTTTGAATTGTTGTACGTTGGATCAAAGCAAAACCCTAGAAGAGATAGGAACTTCTAGGGACGACTTAAAGCTAGTCCTAGCTGCCAATTGATGCATAGCTAATTGCAATTCAGGTATTACTTTTCAAATTCTAGCTTCACAAGCCCTTGAATTTGGACTAGTATTCACGTTCTGAAAACCCTAGTTTTGGTTCCAGTGTTGGAGTTGTTCTCTAGGGTTCATTTTCGAGGCAAGGGATGTTAAAATGTGTGTTGTTTAATTGGTTTGGTCGTTCTTTATTAAATGCTTAGAGGTTCTGCATGCATTGCAATATTATTTAGGAAGCTTATTTAATTGGACTCTAATTAACGTGAGTATGTTTTATTTTTCCAGTAACTTATCTTAAAGTTGTGTTTTTTCTGGTAAGTGACTTAAAGGTGTGTTAATTGCAAGCTTGAATACTTTTTTTTTTTTTTTTTTGAATTTTAGATGATCTCTTTTTGTTGAGCATCTGAGAAGCTAAATGGTATGGTGGTTATAATACATGTTTCTTGGAGTAACGTGTGCAAATGGCTGCGAAAAGTTAAATTTGAAATGTTGAAGTTGTATGTGTGCAGTGTAGCATTGACTTGTGGGTGTTCGTGGGCTACTGGTACTTAACTGAACTTTGACTCCATTGGCTGTGGTCAACTAACCAGCTTTCTGTTTGCGCTAGGCTATTCCAACTAACTGTAAGAGTAACAAAGTCAATGCCCACGTGTCTGGCCATGCATACTTAGTAGGTTACTTATTTCCTCTTTCTATTTCCTGGCACACAAGGTAATGATATTACTTATTCTGCGATATTTGAAATGGCTACTGTGCCTGCATTAATAAATTGTCTTTGCTACAAACTTCTTGGGTTTTGAGAGTGACATTAGGTTTGGATAGTGATTGCTTATATGCCTTAATTGATTGTTTCTATTATGCCGCTTGTTAATTGCCATTTCATGCTTCATTTTGCTGGTATTGTTCTCTCTCTCTCTCTCTCTTTTTTTTTTTTTTTTTTGGGGGGGGGGCGTGTTGTGGGCACATACGACTGTGCCTCACGTGTGACTTGTTAAGTGAGCATTGGGATATCCGTTTATTTTGATAACCTTATAGTGATTATGTTTTGTATTGCCAACAAATCCAGTTATTGCTACGCCCAACATAAGTATGGAGTACATATCAAGCATGATGTCCTTGATCATTGTTTAGGGTGAAACTAAAAATATGGGTGTGTACGCCACAAAAGATGTAATCAATTCACTTTTATGATTAAGGGCAGGGTTCAAAGTATTGGCTGAGTCCGATACAACTCGGCTACCTCTGATACGCTACTGACACACGTTACACAACTATAGTGAGGCACAACTGACTTGGGCTTGACTTGATTACGACTTGGAGATATCGGCTTAGCTCGGAGTTGAATTGTTAGACTCTAACCGAGTCGGGACGGGATATGCAAAATCCNCTACTGACACACGTTACACAACTATAGTGAGGCACAACTGACTTGGGCTTGACTTGGTTACGACTTGGAGATATCGGCTTAGCTCGGAGTTGAATTGTTAGACTCTAACCGAGTCGGGACGGGATATGCAAAATCCTAGACAAGCCACAAAAAACCATAAAAAGGAGAAAGGTAGAAGAAAAGGAATGAGACCCACTTCCAGATTCATGGATTCGGTTTGTTTCGTGACTGAAAAAGTCAAATGAAAAAGGAATTGATAAGAAATAAAGAACAAATTAGAGATCCACCAATGTTGAAAGCACATGCAATTCATTAGTCTCAACCCTAAAAAGTGACAACGCAACAATTATTCAACCCTAGATCACACATTTTTGCAACTATAGAAACGGAAGAAGGAATTGAAAATATTTTCAAGAAAAACATATTAGAACGAATACATAGTGCACTTCTTCTTCTTCCTTCGCATAAGTAGCAGTGGCCCAACCCTCATCCCTTTTTCCAGGCAACAATGCAAGGTTCTGACTTGGTCGAAAGGTTTCTCTCCGTCTTCGATCGAAGGTATCCCTCTTAACTTCTTATGTTCTCTGTGTGTGTGTGTGTCTTAGACACTAATAGAGAGCCACATTTAACTTATACATAACCAAAAAAGACTTATACTTGTATTAATATAATATGTTATATCTTTGATCATATGGCAGCAGCAGTGGATTTTGGTCCTATTGGGCTATTGGGTAGTTTAATATAAATACTTTTATGTATATGACAGGAGACTATCTTGTGGGTACTGTTAATATATTTATATACTAAAATTTTACTTTCATAAATGCTTAAATTAAACACTGATTATGATAAATATTACTGATATCGCCCTTGTAATTTATTTTCAGAATATTTCGATGTTAGATTTTTTTTTGGACGTATGATGCATGGATGTTATTATTTATATATTTTAAAAAATTTTCATGATATTCCAGAATTTTTTTGGCTTTTTTTTATAGCATTTTTAGCATATCGGCCAACACCGTGCTATGATGCTGCGACCAATGATGTGTATTAGTGTCATCCGAGTCAACAGTCGATACCTCGACCTTCAACCATGANATTTTCATGATATTCCAGAATTTTTTTGGCTTTTTTTTATAGCATTTTTAGCATATTGGCCAACACCGTGCTATGATGCTGCGACCAATGATGTGTATTAGTGTCATCCGAGTCAACGGTTGATACCTCGACCTTCAACCATTATTAAGGGAGTGACTTAAGCAAATTAAACTGAACTTCCTGAAAGTTGGACATTTCCCACTTACCAGCTAAGCTCCATCGTTTGGACCAGGGTTCAAGTCTTGAAGGATATGAACTCATTGAAGGCAATTTTGTAAAAAACAAGACACAAAAGCTATTTGGAGTTGGGAATATAAAGAGATTTGTAGCATACATAGATACGTACTTATGTCATATGTAGATATATGTATTGCACACGTGCATTTGCACACATTGTATGCCATTTAATTTCTGTGTCCAAGAGTATCTAAGAGGCATTGGCCACAAACCACTTTGTACTTGGACACAAAATATGTTGCGCATGTCCCAAAAGCGTTCAGGAAGTCTTAGTTTCCAGGATGTATCTGACAAGGGCACAAACATAGAGAAAGTTTGTCTTTAAAAGTTTCTGTTCTTCTCAGCGTATCAGAGTTCGATGTGCCATGTGAGTTCTAGCTCTTGCACAGTAGTGTTCAAATGTATCTGGTAATTTTTCCTGGGAAATTCTTTCATTATGCAACGTTTATATGCCAGATAATTACCTAGTCAGGTATGGATGTGTTATGCATTACTGCTTGGTGTGTTATAGTCATAGTTTCACAAGAGATTATAAAACTACTGAGATCTTGCTGATTAGATTGCTGTATGGAATTAATGGAATGTAAGCTATTTTTCTCTATTCATTATATTGGAGTGGCCCCTTTAGTTATTTAAGAATGTGTATGCATGCTTGTTATAAAGGTATGAGGGTCATAGTTAAAAAACACTAATTGAAATTTTTTTTAAGCTAAAACATGTACTCGTGCCTTGGACTTAACGTATACTCATAAAAGATGTCATATTCAGGTTATCTTTACAGTGTCATGTTAATATTGAGGAAAGCTTCTGTCAAATGACAATACTGTGACATGAGTGGCTACATTGTCTAATCTATCCTAATCCACATTCCCACCTTTTTGATTGGTCACATTCCCTATATTTATTGATTTCGAAGTTACTATGATCTAAAGAAATTGTGAAAGTTTGAGTGTTAGCATTGCTGATGTATATCCAATATGCTTCAGCATCTTATTTTTGTCTTTCCAATAATGCAGAAGGGGATTTTTTTTTAAAATTACCAAACCATGGACATCTTATAGTTATTTCTGTTGTGTGCTTCGTTCTCTCTTTTTAGTGACTGATTGTTGCTATTCTTATCTGTAAGGAATTCGATCCAAGTCTAGAATCAATGGAACAGGAACACCTGTAGATAAAAAGTTAGGCATGCATGGATGTAGTACTGGATCTGCTCTAGTCAATGCCGAGGTTGATTCCATGGGGGGAGTTGTTGAAGGTGGAGTTCGTAGTGGCACCAAAGCCTCTCCGCAGCAAGCAGCAATTGAGATGGCTCAAGCAGAGCTTAGGTGATACTGCCATGCTCCTTTGAATTGTTGACCTGCATACTATAGTTCCAGTACACCCAAAATCTTCTTTCTGTCAATGTAAATATGAGAGACTTTGTTGTTTTGTTGATAACAGGCAGGAGTATGATGTGCGTGAGGAAAGGAGAAGAGAGTTAGAGTTTCTTGAGAAAGTATGGAAACTCTATCCATATATTGCTTTCTGAATCCTTCATATGGATATGTGATTACTCTAGATGTATTATGGTGATTTGCAATTTTTCTTCTATGCAGGGTGGCAATCCCCTGGACTTCAAACTTGGGACAGCAGCTTCAGTTAGTGTCCAGTCTACTTCTCTGACAAATCAACACCATGAACCATTTGTGACCAGGTACTTTTTCTGCATTTGTGTCATTGAGTCATTGGTTATCCTTCCAGTTACATCTTGCTCACTCATTTATTCTTTTTATTTTTCATAATGACTTGTCTAATGTTTTATTGTGGTGTTTCAGTGAAGCAAAAGGTAGTTTTGCATTGACTGCTTCACCTCATGGTGATTCTGTTGAAAGTAGTGGTAGACTAGGGGCTCCTCCAGTTTGTGAACCCAATAGTGCTGATAATCTCATGTTATTTGATGCTGAAAATGAATTTCTTGGAGGTGAAAGGAACTATGTACATCCCAGTAGGAGTAAGATTGTTCCATCAGAGCAGTTCTCCCAATTGGATGGAAATCAAAATGCCAAAAAATTAGCGAACTCTGCTGTGTTTGACCTTCCAAAAAAGGCATATAAGCGACGGTACAGGTCCCGACCAAATCGAGACGGTGCTCGATCAAGCTCAAATGATGTAGTACCATCTCGTGCTGGTCACAGCTCTTATTTACCTTCTCGCAATGGTCGCAGAGATCCCAAAGGGCTAGTCACTGTTGCAGACAATCAGAAGGAGCAGATTGTTTCCACGAATTGTGATCCACCCAGAAGTCCAAATGGTATTATGCTTCTCAAGACAGTACCTTCTGATATTCAGTTAGTTATGAAATTAGATGGCATGCAAGCTGTAGAATCTACTGGTCTAACCAATGTTTGTCTGCCTGGTGGTGTTTCAGATGCTGACACTCCTAAACGCTTGTGGGACAACCAACCCTCACAAGCTGATTCTCAGGAAACTCCTATTGAAATGGCTTCTGAAGCTCCTGAATCTGTTGGGGGAAGGGAACAGGCGGTTTCAGTGGGTCTTGAATGTGTGCCTTGTGTGACTACCACAAAAGTGGATAATCTAGTGGGTTATGGTCAGATGAATGGGCTCAGCTGCCAAAAGGGGGATAGGAAAAACGTGTCAATTGAAGGTCAAAATAATAGTGTTGCATTTGACAAGAAGGGTTTAGATTCAGATTCATCTTGCACGCATACAAGCCGTAGCATTGATGGAAATAATGATAGTGAAAGGTGTACTAATTTGCTAAATATTGATTCCAATGGGAATATTAAGGAACGACTCTTAGCATCTGAAAGGATGCCAAATATGGAAGGTGATGAATTGGTTGCAGACAAGACCGAGATTAAAGCTAATGACAGTTGTGTTTTAGTTAATGATGATATCAATTCTATTTGTCAAAGCAACCAAGGCAATGGTTCCATCATCAAAACCCAGGAAGAACTAAATGGAAGCATACTAGGCTTGCAAAATGATGTGAAAGGTCCTATTGTTATTGAGGGAATGGAACCAGATGGTGTTAATGGATCAGAAACAGAAAGCAAACCTAGTTTTTTGTTGGGTGAAAGTTCGATACCTCACAGTGAAAATGCTTGTCCTGATACACTTCAGAATTCAGTGGATTTCTCTAATCAAGAGCTTCCTGAAACTAAGTCTTCTGTTAGGGTTCCAAATGTAGCCGCAGAGCACCACACTTGTTCCGGTGAGCAACCGAGTGTGGTCAATGAGGCAGACGAAGATTCTATTCTGGAAGAGGCACGGATTATAGAGGTTATCTCTTTAAATCCCAGTCTGTTCTATGGTCTGTATTTTGTTGAACTCGAAAGGAACTCTTTCAAAGGTCTGACATAATTCAGTAAACAGGCGAAGCGTAAGAGGATTGCTGAGTTATCTGTTAGTGCCCAACCGGAAGAGAATCATCGAAAATCTCACTGGGATTTCGTCATTGAGGAAATGGCATGGTTGGCAAATGATTTTTCTCAGGTCTGAGTTTGCCAATTAACCCTATAGTTGCTCTTTTTATGTCTCCTTGCTTTCTGCCTTTGGATTATGTCTGTCTAAGTACGATTATTTAGCATATAGATCGCAAGTATCTCTTTTTCAGGAAAACTACTTTGAATGGCTGTTGTTTGCTTTATGTGCCTTCCTGATTTGCAATTCCCTTCAAATAGGAACGTCTTTGGAAGATATCTGCTGCTGCTCGTTTAGGTTATCAAGCTGCTTTTTCTTCACGGTTAAGATTTGAAGAACAAAATTCACGTTGGAAGCAAAAAAATGTAGCTCTTACCTTGGCAAAAGCTATTATGGACTTCTGGCATTCTGTGGAGGTACTTTTAAATATCTTATTATTCACCTGTCGGTTCTAAAAATTAGTGGTACTATGAATCTGTGTGACGGAGGGTTAGTTGGTCTGAGATTACCCTTTTTTCCCCCAATTTCTTTGCAGTTGTTTTGATTATTGATGAGAATAAGATTACTGAACTTGGGATTGAAGATCTTACTATGGTGGTGGTTATTTAGTTTGCCCAATGTTCCTGCTCTCTAATTAGACTTGAGTAATGGTTTTTACCCGTTCCTTTAGATATTTTGTATGTTCTTTTCATGCATTTAGCAGTTGATGTAATTGTTGAAGTCCTCCCCCTCCCCCAAAAAAAAAAAAAAAATCCACCACCACAACAAAACAAAAAAACAACACACCCACCCACCCATAATGATGGGGTTGGAAGAAAATACAATATGTGGCTAAAGAAACATGAGGCTCACTTCTTGCAACCTGCATGATATCCAGCAGTATGATTCAGAGATATTTTTACTGTCTGATATGGTACTATAGGAATCACAGAATTTTGATGGATTCCAGATTGTATGGCGGTATCACCCTTTGGATCTTATCCTCCTATGCTTTTCAGAAATCTGCTAGTATTATTGTTCTTGATCTATATCACTATCACTTGATTCATATATATATTCCAGATGGGCCTAATGTGAAATTGCAGTGGCTGTGTTTTATTCAAGTGGCTTTTTTTTTGTTGGTTGTGCAGGAAAAAGGCAACGAGCTGGAGCTGCAATGTTCTGTTCGGGGATATGCAGTTAGATTTCTAAAAGAGAATGGGTCCCATGTTCCACAGGGACAAGTGGAGTGCCAAACAACTCCTGACTGGATGTCTGATTTGGGTATTCTGGACACTTGGGAGGATAGCTTGATGGAAGTATGTAGTAAAGCTACATTCTTTTGTGCATTTAGTTTAACATCAATCGTGGGCAGTGGAACCTCTGTGTGTGTTTGTGTGTATGTGATAAGCGTATTACATCTTATGTCTTGTAAGACCTTTTAGTTGCACCGCTTCTGGATTTCGGAGATTTTTTGCCTTGAGCAGATGAATTTTTCATACCCACTTGTTTTACTTGTCTATTCTTTGCTTATGGCTCTATAGGAAATGAATTTGTTGCCCTCTCGCAGGAGAATCTCTTTTACACAGTTCCTGCTGGTGCGATGGAAACCTACAGAAAATCTATTGAATCTTATTTGATACAATGCGAGGTAAACATATGAGTCATAGCTCAGTTATTATATGCGGTAATGTAATTGTAGGTCACTGCTTTCCTGCTTCATTTTGGGCTGGTATGGCTGTTGTATAAGTTACATGGCTCTGCAATCAGATAGCAAGAAAATATTGAACCCAACCCCCAAGTGTAGGGAATCAAGTGCTTAGGAGCGTAAACAATGCTCGTAAAATCTAATGTTTTGTGGTTTTCATCAGTCTAGACATTTTTCAGGTGGGGTCACGGTTTAGAACTTCGCACTGTCGTACACCTGGCTTGGATGGCCTGGGGAACCATAAGCTAAACTTGTTGGAAACCACTTTTTTCTTTGGTGGCAATTAGGGGTGTTCATGCGCTTATTTCAAGGAGTATAATCTGTTCATTTCTCAAGAGTCAAATGCTATTCCTCTTTGGACTCCTACTGCTTTTTGAATTGGAGCAGGTACAACCTAGTTCAGCTGATTACAAAAATGGAAGAACAATCTGAAATGTGAACATTAAAGGAAGGATGTATTAAACCAATCTCAGGAATGCCAGTTACAGACTTACAGTACAATGAGCCAATGAACAATTATTCCAGTAGACTAAGAAGCACGGACGTACTGATGCAAAGTTTTTCAAAACAGTAGGACACGGGCACGTTGGGGGACACTAAATATAACGTATTTATTTATTTTTATATATACGATCTATGATGAAATAAATATATATTGATAATAATCATTCAATTCTTTCTTTCTATAATTCTAACAATTTGTATCACAAAATCATCGAATAAAGAATCAAATCTTGGACCGGTGCACTAATCATAAACATCCATGATCCGACAATCAATGACTACTACAATTTCAATTTTAAAAAATATCCCACTTCAGAACCTTAATTTTCATTTAATTTCAAAGTGCCCTAATTTCATGACCCTATTTGTGATTAAATTACTTTCATGTAAAAGGTGTATCCCATTTTGTATAATTGTTTATAAAACTATGTTCATACCGGTGTCCTATGTCCATGTAGTGATTATAACTCTTTTTATATTATAACTTTGACACATATCTCTTCAAAATTATAAAAATAACTTCCTTATTTGTAAAGTTTGTTGACAAGTTTCTAAAAAATTTGAAAGAAAAAAACTCAAAACATGTTCCCAGCATGTCGATTACATATCCCAACATGTTCCGAGTGTGTCATTTACGTGTCCCCAATGTGTCTGAAAAAAATATAATAATAAAAAGGTAAAAACTCATTTTAGCATGTCGGGGAAGATCCCAAAACGTGTTTGTCATAGTTGGCCAAAATGAAGTGGTTGTGCTTCCTAGTCAAAGTATTGCTAGATTTTATGATGAACTTAGGCTGTTAGTTTTTATGATTAACTTACACTCAAAAATTAAACGAGATTAAAGGCAGGAAGGAAAATTCCATGTTCTGGTATCCTCCGAATTGTTTGTCGTCTAGTTTGGATTTCTGATTAATTAGTCAGGAGCAAGGATCAAAATATCGTTTTGAAACGGTCGAAATGTCCGAAACGTTTCCGTTTCCAAGGAGACCGAAACGAAACAGTGATGAAATCGAAATTTTGATATTTCGAGGTATTCCATAATGTTTTTAAATGTATTATAATATTTCAATACATTTGCACAATTGTTTTAGAATGTTTTAAGGTATTTCAAGATACTTTGATGTATTTTCATTAATGTTTTTAAAAAATAATTCTTAAATTTTTTATTTTTTTCATTATGTTTTCAAAACGGCTTGAAACGTTTTCAAAACACGTCGAAACGTTTCCGTTTCCTATGTGACCGAAACAATACACCGAAACGATATTTTGATTCTTGGTCAGGAGAACCGTGCTACGACATGTAGCTTCAGTTTTGGGGAACTCATTAGGTAATTTTGAGATGGGACCATTGTTGTGGATCAGTTCTAACGGAGGGGCCAAAGGTTTAAGAACTAATCTTGTTCGTTTTAAAAAAGATGGAATGGCTGGGATTCTTGATTGTAGTTGCCTTAGATCGTACCATTCCCTCCAGAATATAAGTTTCATGACCTAGGATATCATGAATTGTCTGACTTAGCAATTGTGTGCGGCATGACCTTTTAATATGCGAGAAAAAATGTAATATCATTCTTGAAACCTGTATCCGCTTATAAGTAGGATTTTCTGTTTTGCCAATCACTGAGCAATAACTGTTGCAGCTGGTAGCCATGGTTGCCATTTTCGTGGTTGTGCTAGCCTACTTACCAGAATTTGTTTTGATTTTTTCCTTAGAAAACTGGCAGTAGCATGCATGAGGAAGTGGAGACATCCATCCAAGACACTGTTCCAGGTATTTGTGGGGCTGGCGCGATCTATTTTTTCCGTGCTTTCAAGTAATCTTGCATTCTTCACAAGTTTAGTTCTGAATTTAGACTTTGAATATCAAGATAATGCATGTGAAGAAGATGAAGGAGAAACAAGCACATATTATTTGCCAGGAGCCTTTGAAGGTAGCAGGGCATTGAAATTTGCTCAGAAGAAACGGAAAAACTTGCCGAAGGCATATAGTGCAAGATCATATGAAGTGGGAGCTGATTTGCCATTTCTGCATTGTTTGGAAAAGAAAGTTGGGACTCAACAATCCATGTTAATGGGAAAACAGTCTGCCAACAGTCTCAATGTTTCAATTCCAACAAAACGTATGCGGACTGCCTCCAGGCAGAGGGTCATAAGTCCTTTTAGCACTGGAACATATGGTGGTGTTCAGGCACCAAATAAGACAGATGCTTCCAGTGGTGATACCAATTCTTTTCAGGATGATCAGAGTACTTTTCATGGTGGATCTCAAGTCCCAAATAGCATGGAAGTTGAGTCAATGGGGGACTTTGAAAAACAATCACCATTTGACTCCTTAGAAATATCAACAAAAACTAAAAAGAAGAAGAAGAAACACCTGGTATATAATAGTCCATACTGTCTAATAGATGCCATGGCTAGAGTGTTTTTGGAAATGTTTGGTGACCTTCCTCTGTATTTTTTGCATCTTTTATGATTACTTCCTTATTATTTATTGTGGCAGGGTTCCTCATATGATCAACGATGGCAGCTTGATTCAAATTTTCAAAATGAGCAGGTGATCTTTGTTTTCTTTATGAGACATAGTGGCTTGATTTGCATGCATGTATTGTCTATCTTATCTTTAGAGGTGAAGTGATTGGCCAAATTCATTTACTGGCTAGTAAAAACTTTGTTAACCAGGTGGTGCAGGTCTTGTGGCTTATGATTGTCATGTTGGGGGATCTTTCATCTGCTAACATTGCATACATATAAGCTTCGGAATGCTAGCATTGTGTTCATATAAGCGTCAGAAAAACTTTAGTTTGTTTTCCACTATTCAACTATTTATGTTCGTTCTTTTTGTTTTTAATTCATGATTATTCCTGGTTTCACTGTCAGATGGTGCCCTGCATCGTGGTAGTTGAGATTGTGCATATTTCATGGATATGTATGGACTATAGAGTGAGGGAGGGGGATCTTCGATATAGGACTTTCTCAATCTTTGTGGTGATATTGTTTAATGCATTAGATTGCACTTGTGATGCACATAAACAGAGTGGAATGCTCCAAAAAAGAAGAGCTTAGAAGTATAAAATTATTTTTTAAAGTTACTCGATGCATATGGCGTAGGAAGTACGAACACTTCATTTTGGCTAGAGTTTAGGTGTCGGACATGTCTGGGACACAGACACGGATACACTTCGGACACGCTAAAATGAGTGTTCTATTTTGTTATTGTTAAATTTATTTTTAGGAGGGCAAGTTTTGAAGTTTTTTTCCAATTTTTTGAAAACTTTTCAGATAATTTTATAATTAAGGGAGTTATTTTTGTAATTTAAAGAGATTTGAGTCAAAGTCATAATATAAAATGAGTTAGAATCATTACATTGAACATAAGACATTTATTAAAAAAAAAAAGAAAACCATAGGCATGACTGGAGCATAATATCACATATGAATGAGAACTTGTATATAAATGGAGTAAACTTTAATATGAAAGTAATGTGAGGAAAAATGGAGTTGCAAAATTGGGGCTCTTTGAAATATTTTAAAAATAAAAATTGTAGTTGTCATTGATTGTTGGATCATAGATATTAATGATTAATGTGTATTGACATATCTTATTTTGTATTTTTTATGTAGTGATATCATGATGTGAGCTTTTGGAATTAGGGAAATGATGAATTAAAAGATTATTATGATAATATTTTTATTTTAACACATGATTGTATATATATATATATATATTAATGCATATTATTTAATGTGTCTCTAATGTATCCCTATTATACTTTTTTGAAAAAATTCATGTCGGCTTGTCTGTGTTGTGCTATGCTAATCAGTGTCTTATGGTGGTACTGAACCATGCTTTGAAAATCAACTGAAAAAAGGTTGTCTTGAAGCAAGAGTTAGTTATGGATACAATATGGGATAGAGATACTATTGAAAAAGTTCATGCCACGACGATCTATATGGAAGGACAGTTTTATTGATGCATTCTTGTTGAGAATGAAGAATTATTACTATGTATAGTTAGAGAAAAACATAGTAGGGGGCACTGGATTAGTTGTTGAAATTCAGCCCAGTAGCCATGATGCTGTGGATTTGAACACTGGGTCAGTCGCTTTGTGCAAATAACACCACAGATTAAATTTGTATCCAATCTACCCTTCCAGAACCCCCATTAGTAGAAGACTAAGATGGGTGTTATTTGTTGTTAGTCAGAAGAAAACCTGTACAATGTATCTGCAATGCATTAAATTGAGGCCTCGTGGAAGGCCGCTAGATTTGTAACAGTAATTGGGCATGAGATGGCTAATAATAAAGGCTGTGGCTTGCTCTATCCTAGATGACTATGTAATGTCTATGCTAAAAATGATCTTAGAAGACCACGTCATCCTCCAACTGCAACCCTCCCCCCCCCCCCCC